AGAACTCAAACCCGTGTTAATGCTTTACAAGCATCGTACACTTCAGACAGAAGCGAAAATTCAGTACGGTACTCGGTTCCTGCAGTAACTCAGCTGTAGGTCCTGTCCAGATGAGTGCTCGTGAAACAATGCACTCTAACAGCTACCCATCTACCACCTCCGTGCCCCAAGCTTCCTGTTCGATGCCTCGTATATGTAATGGGGTGGCTTTCTGTATTCAACTAGGGTTTTATCGTGAAAGAGAATATGCATGTTGCCTAAAATCTGCGTCCATTTCATTCCATTGCATTTTGATTCACATCACGACCTCCGGCACACGCTCAGCGGGTTCGAATTCCATTGAATAGGATATCCGCCGCGTTTGCCGTACGCGTCCGTCCGCGTACGCACGCGATTAATGCAGTGCGACCTGGTGTGGCATCTCCTGGTCTACCTCAGAACTTCCCTCACCTAGCACTTTGAGGGTAATGGGTGGTATGTGGAAAGATAAAGTGCTTTCTACCACATCGTTCGCTCTTATCTCTTATTCTAATACGCGTAGGTGTGCGGAGCCCAGCTGATAAAAGATAACGAAGCAAACCCTTTAAAAGCATGACGTACCTTGATACGAGGGATATAGACGTCCTGTTCAGATCCAAAAATATTAGGAACAGACCTGGAAAGGTACGCAGTTGAAGATGAAAACTGAAATAGAAGAAAGGCCAAGGAATACTATAGCTAGTCTTCTGAGATACCAGGTTCCGGTCAGGGTAACCACAAATGTCATAATTATCGTTTGAACCCTCTAACAGCCCTCCGTGATCAACTAGTAAAAAAAACTATCTGCAACGGTTTAGTGACGGAATTATTCCCGAGGCAGGCATCCTGGAGCAGTTCCCTTGACCATTTATAGTCTCTGTTCCCTGCCCACATCACACGTGAGTGGCTGCTCATCTGCTCCGAAGCTAACTTCCCCCTCCCCTTACACATGCGCTCTCTGGTCGTTCACAGCTGAGAACACACTGGCCTTCTATATCACCGCGTTAGCGCTCGCTTTGCGGCAATTTTCCCGTGTCCTTCGCCGCCAACGCGACCGCTCGCGTCTGAATGCCCGCCTCCCATTGGAAAATGAGACTCACTCAAGCAATATTGCCACAAATTCCACTTCGGTGATGTTTTCACTAGCCATACAATGTTCTAAAAACTGGAGCACTTCCGCCCAATTTTGTTTACCCGTGTCCTCGTCTGAAATGAGAGATTTTTAGCGTATGGACAAGTTCTGAACCTACCTAAAGACAATAAAAACACTCACCAACCGTATTACGAGCAACTTCTGCAACAACTGAAAGCAATTTCTTCCTCAATCGCGAGTCAGATTCAGCCATAACCGAATTGATCAGCTAAAAATAATGAAAATAGCCAAATGGATAACGATCAGGGGTAACAGTCGCCTCTTCAAGTGATACCTGATCAGTAAAACTTTTCTGTTCTGTTCCGAGATCTTGCCATAACTGCTCCCAATTACTTGATAGCAGTCGTCGAAGAAGCACAAGACACATCAATCGTGACTGGAAAACAACGGCTTTGTAAAATGTTGAGAACACTATCCTTCCAAGGATATAAAAAATCTGCTGAGGGGTAGGTTTGTATGATATCGGGTGCGATTACCAAGGTGTAGATAGAAAGGTGGAGAGGGAGGGAGTAGCTCTTGAAACGAAAATGGGTACTCTGTAGGTCACACACAAAGGAAGCCGGAAGTCCTGTGAAATGAGGACATTTCTTGGACTTATTTTGAGACTGCACGAGCTAACCAGTACTGTGGGCATCATTATGACAACGGACTTTGATCAATAAAGAGCTCATGTCTGTTGTGTACGAACAGTTCCACACACAATATTTCTTCAGGTGAGAATTTATCATGTAAAGAACTCCGGGACATAATGTGAAGTCTTGCCGTTCCCCAACTCAAATAATCGCTTTCGTCAGGGCTGCTACAATTTGCACGTATCCAGCGTTGACACGTCCAGCAGGAGGCGGGCCCGTCATCAGAAGAGCTAATCGCTAGCGCTTTAGAGCCTGATGGCGTGTGTATTGAAATTTCTTTCGCATCCGAAACGCCACTAATCCTCCATCATCGAAGCATTACTACAGGTCTTCAGAGAAGGAGGTTACATGGACCAACACAACCGTTACCCATAGAATACCTGTAAACTCATTCCTATTTTCGTACCAATAATCTTCAGAAGACTCTGCCTCTATGACTACATTCGGAACATCATATTTTTACTTGCGTTTTCTTTTTGAAGGAAATAAGAGAGGTGCGTCCTCTTCATGCTATGGGCTCACTTTATGATCGATTTGACTATTGATTGATGTGCACAGTCACCTCCTCCCTACTTTGGGAAGACGTAGAACCTTCTCCGTTACAAAGTTTTCAGTTCTTTCTACGCAGAATTTCACAATGTCCATATGAATTCCCTGCTTCCTTCCTAACAAGCAGCTGAAGCCATTTTAATTCACTAAACAGATATTTAGTGTGATGAATGATGAAAGAAATCTTTCTTTCGGTGCATCCGTCTGTAGGCAAATTGGCCCCGATACCAAGTGATATTTAACAGGAGTTTCCGGTTAAAGCAGATGAAGCGCACCTGCTCTGAGTGGGGAGCAACACAAGGAGGGCGAGCTGCACGTTACAGTTGGCCAAGCACTAGTCAATCGTTATTCGCTTCCAATGCATTAGCGAGACTGAATGCAATTGACAGGAACCAGCAGCAGGTCTCAGAATGGGAAATTATGTAGCAGAAGATGAGCCGCTCTCAAGTTTTGTGATTTACTGGGCAAAAAAAATCGCGTCACGTTTCAAAGGAACTTGGAAAATTCAGCAGACAGGAAAAACGGGGAGACGGGCGATAGGATCGGCTTTGTGAAATCGATTCACCGCACGCGGCTGTCGCGGACCATTCGCTTCGTCGTTATTACGGCTCTAGCAATCTTCATACAGCTCAACAATATGCGATCATTATTTTAGGCATGATTCTACTGTTCGTTCTTTTGTTCCTGTATTTCTTACTTACTGCTGATTCTGCTAACTTCATTCGTGTGCGGCGTCCCCCTTGCCGCGACGCGACAATTTCGATCCTACTGCACCACACTCCAAAGATCCAAGGAATGGAACGGAAAGTTGAAATTCTTCCAGGACGTGTTACTTTCAAAAGTCAAAGTTGTGAAAGGTTTGTAGATCGAGTTCAAAGAGGTCCCGGGATTGCTGAAAAATCTCAAAAATGATTAAAAATGGAGCATGACGGAAATGTGAAGAACCCCAACTGGTGGTTGAGGCTCAAAATTATGTCTGTCGTGACCTGTGCAGCACGATCATGAATGGCTCCCAAGTCAACACCAGTGTATAGGAAGACGGTTTCAGTGCAGTGATACATCAACTTCGGAATGAAATGTGCCAAAATGTCCGTAGAGCGTTAATGTTCTTAGCCAAAAATCAGATGTACGGAAAAATTAGGAGGGATGAACATTCTTCAGAAGGAACATCAAACGATGCTGATCAGGACTGGAAGGTACAGCAGGATTGGGATGCCGTTCAAATTTCAGAATACTCTGGAACTGCGGAACAGTATGGGTAAGAGTGAAGGTGTAGCACGCTCCAGAAGAGCATCACAAAGATGTATAAAAATGTGTCTTCTTCGCATACAGTAAGAAACACGGGTCCTGAACTAGTTTTGTGCAGCTTTTCCACGTTTTTATAATTTTGTAAGTTTATAGGTTAGTTATTTTTGAACATTCCCTTTATCCGACGCCGTACTTCAGGGACGCTCCGTCGCTACCAATTGATTGTCTATTTCTGAGCAATGTGATCTTCACGCTGCTGTGATGACCAACCAAACCACAAGGGTTACTTTTTAGCCAGGCATTCGTGTAAGTTCAGTGTACAGTACCTCAATCGGAGCATCAGCAGTGCAGTATAACGAGAATAGTAAGGATGCTTTACGAGCTAGTTCCATTTCCGAATAAATTTTCTCTGCTCCACTTCGTTCTGCATTATCGGACGATTGCATGTGCACCACCAACTGGTTGAACCGATGTAAATCCATTTCAATATGTGGGTGGCCAAGCCTGAAAATGGAGCATCAGGAGGAACTACAGTATACGACGGTTCAATTGATTGATCACGCTTTGAACACCATCGATTGACATTCGATCAAAGGCGTGAACTGAAGGAGCAGCAAATGATAGGAATACGGTATAACTGTGATTCGGGCCATATACAAGTAAGGGAATTTTGTAAACGGTATACTGATTTGAACAGGCACTCATAGGCGAATCAGTCAGGCATTTATCAATTTATTTGGTCCATCAGTTCTACATGGGCCCTTGGTTATTGATCATTACGTTGATAAATCATTCGATTAAAGGAGTGAATTGATGGGGCAGCAGATGATAGGAATATGGTATATCTGTGATTTGGGCCATGCGCTATATAAGGGGAATTTTGTAGACGAAATATTGATTTAAACATGCATGCAGTGGAACGCCAGTCATCTATCGATTTATTTATTTTCTCAGTTCTATGTGGGCACTTGTTTATCGATCATTACGTAAATAAATCACTATTGGGAATCGCCTAAGTCATGGTATCATTCAAAAGAGTCACTTCACGGGTCGTTGCCCGGTTCAGCTCGAGAAACACAGCATGGGCATCAAACGATCACACGTAGTCCTTGATGATCCCAGGACCACGAGGATCGATATTTTCTTTGGGCAAGTGATAGAAACGACTATTTAAAACTTAGTTCATAGCTGACGCTCGGTCTAGATTGATGGGAACGAGCTTAGATGAATCACCCGAGCAAATGATAGGAAAATTTCCACGAAAGCCTCATTTAAAATATTTAAGGGACTAAAACTGGGGACGATCCGATAATACAGCTATAAACACGCTGAGAGATGGAAAATATTTTTTTCTTTTCGACCACTATCAATCCTCTCCAGTATACGGCACGGATAAGGCTTTCGCTAAAAACCGAGCAGATATCTGGGCAGTTTGGACAGCGAGATCCCGTTAGGCTATTATTCATTGCTCCTGTTTATAAGCCGGACTTTTTTTTACGAATCGACCTACTCAGGAGACTCAGAGGCCTCAATGGTCGAGGCTGGATTCGTTCCTCTGGCCATGAGCATGATAACGGCGCGCGTTACCACTGCGCCACATCTTCCCGCCAAATTGGCAAGCGAAGCCCTCCGCCAGCTATGAGCCGAAATTCGATGGTTTTATGGGTTTTAATTGCTATTTTTTGAATATTTAGCGAGAAGAGATAGCTATTGGCATTGTGGTAACCGTTATACAAAAAAAAAGCATTTTCGAGTAACACGAAAACATTAAATATTGCAGTAATGCCTTTATCGCCGTTTCTGAAGGAGGAGTAAATCTTTTGAAAATACAATTAACAGTACGGGACTTCAGACTTTCCAGGTAAAAGGAACGTATTACTACTACTATTATTAGGTTGGCAAATAAGTCCTGCGACAGAAAATTTGAAGCGTTGAAAATTTGTATCAACAGTGTGAACACGGTAGCAAGGGTGATGGACTTGTAGGACATTCCTCAGGCAATCAACACATGAGTAAATAAGTGCATGCCTGTGGGCTTTCGCAGCATTACGGTCAATAAATGGACAACACCCGATTTGTAAAATCACCTTCTCCTAAGCACGCCAAGGAAAAAACGTGAGTGTAGCGGCTCGAAATGTCAGCAATTTATTCAATGCTAGCACTGCTAACCGATCGACGGTCAACAATCAGTTTGCTCGCTTCACTGCAGGAGATACTAGCCTTCGGAGTAACGCACGCATCATCCCTTTTTTTAATGGAGGTTGAAGGAATCCATCCACTATGAGTTGCT